TGAGAGGAGATAACACAGATGTGAGTGGGAATTTGCATGAACGTGAAACTGAAGGAATACGTGATGGTTCAGCTCCTTAAGTATCATTGACAGCCAGTCTTAATCGTTTGCTAATCTCTCCGAAAGTGTTGTTTACCCAGAATGACAATAATGATTAAACAGATTTCTTTCCTGCCCATGGATGCTTGGCAGCTGCACAGTCAGTTCACATTCTATTGGCAAGAAACGTTTCAGGACAATCAATGTATAGGAACACTTATCGTAGCGCCCTCAGCTTCAATTATTTCGTTGATACATATTTTCTTCGCTCTTGCGACGCAACCGTGGACTAGGTTCCGTTTTGTCGGATTAGGATAAATCTCAAAATATGTGTTTATTGACCCGTCCATGCTGAGGCCGATGTTGCTTTCATGACACTTCTTCACCACAGTTGGGCTAAACCAACTTACACTCAAACTAGATCTTTTAAGCTGGATAAATTTCATTCCACTTTAATTGGTTTGTTCTGCTTACCTGAATAATCTTGCATTAAATTACACAATTTGCTTACGCTATTTGCGTTTATCTTCGTTAACTTTATGACATTTGTAGCATTTTTCGAGTAATTTGTGGACATTTTGTACTTGTCGCGTATTCGTTGATGATCAACTTATTTCATACGTTAATTTAGGGAAGCGTTGTGTTTGCATAGCCGTTTGCTTTAACAGATATACATTTTTGATAATGTTATTTCAAATGATTGGCTGTTGCTTGATATTCCCGGTGTGGCTGCGTTTGATGTGTATGTTGACAAGGTGCCGACCTGTCCATTACCCACTACCTCGTCCATACTGGCTCCAGTAGACAGTGGGTCGTTGATGGAGGGGACAGAGTGCATGGTCCTTTGGGCCGTACTTGTCTAGAAGAGTGGTTCCATGCACTCATTGTGGAGCGAACTACGGTCCAGCCCCCGCTTGTGTGCGGTTGATTCCCCAAATGCAGCGTGCTTGTGTTTGCCTGTGAAGGAGTGGGGGCGGACTCCGTTAATGAAACATGGCTCCCATCCACATGCCTCCCGGTCTTCCTTCTTCGGGTTTACACTGGATCTGGGGTGTGTGGTTGGTGCAGTGGGTGTTGCTGGGTAAGCCACAATTGGTCCCGCTGTAGGCGCAGGCGTCCTGTGGTTGGCCACATTGACAGTGAAATCTGAACCCGGATGCCTCCAAACATGTCGCGGTTACGTGGATTCCACAATACAGTGAGCCACGTGGCTGATGTGACATCTGAACATCCAAGAAGACCAGAGCTTCATTTGACCCCGGCTGTGCAACAGAGTGATTTTATCTGTGTTCGGCTGAACTCCTGCAATAATTCATGCTGGTCCAAGTAACCCCAGACTTAAACCACTGCGTAATCACCACAGCATTTTTAGAGTGATACTGGCTCCATCACTTTGAGGCATCTATTTCCTGATGTTTTTTCCGCAGAAAGTCAACACAGTAGCGTCTTATGCTTTTTATATGCGAATCTATACCTATGCACCCAAAGCACGTCGCAAACCAGCTACATATTTAATATATATAATTATGGATAGTTTGTGCATTTTAAAAGGAAGGTTTAAATGACTAAAGTGCTTAATGGTGCACCCATGAAAGCTATGGTCGCCACGGTAGAACCATAGTAATAAACGCGCCTCTTTTAATCTTTGGGTGGAAGCGAATTGTCTGACGGCCGTCACATAGTTATATTGCACGACACGAGTATCATTCGGCGGGTAGAAAAGAGAATTCGCCAGCTAATAGAAGACGTGCTGCATTGGAGCTAAATCAACGTACCGATCTTCCGCAGGGTAACTGATGTAATAGACACTTTGCGTGCCATTTGCGGTGACAGACAAGGTCTTCTTTGACCCATGTTCTCCGGCCCATAAAGGTACAATGTACGCGATTTCGACCTGCTATTAAGACTTTGAGATACATACATAGTTGACTTGGCACATACTTGAAAATTAGTATAATGCTTTTGTACGGCTTAACAGGGCCAGTAGGGTTGCACCGAGCGGATAGAGATGTGTACAGCTGTATACCGCATGAATAATTCAAACTTGAATATAGCGAACACGCTGCGTAGTTGGGTTGCGATTCACAACCTCTATTGATACCTCGATTCACTTTGAGGCAAACCTCGGTCATTCAGATCTCAAGAACCGTATGTGAAATGGAAATATTTGTGTGTCTCTCCTCCCATAGCTGGCACATGACGACCGCGGTTTCGTCCTGGTTTGAATTCATCAGGTAGAGATAACATGAGCTGGGTTGGAATTCAGAGCCTAGTAGTTCACGGCTGACGTCCTGAGCACTATGCTCCTGAGATCGGCGAGCAACGCTTGGCACAGCGGAAAGCAATTCCAAGTTGAATAGAGCGAACACACTGTGTGGTGAAGTAGCGACTCGCAACCTCTATTAAGACCTCGGTTCACTTTGAAGTAAACCTAGGTCATTCCGATCACAAGGACGGAACAGATAGGAAAGTGTGCAGCTGTATACAATACGAATAATTACACAGCAAGCGATGCGCTTCTCACTGTACAATTAGCGCTAAATGGTGCAGTGCATCATAACCGCAAAAGGTAGTTAAAATATGATGCTGGATTTATTTGTGACGAGCACTCAAACTTCTGCTTTCATGATAAACTAAGCACTCACTTTGCTTATGTATGGTTGGCAGCATCCGGTGTCGGATTTGCCTGTCACTGGGGCCAGCCACAGGACGCCTATCCCTAAAGAGGAACCATGGGTGACTTACGCTGCACCAACCGCTGGTCCATCCACCACCCCCTATCCAATGTAAATCCGAAGGAAAAAGACCGCGAGGCATGTGGATGGGAGCCATATTACCTCAACGGAGTCCGCCCACACTCCTTCAGAGACAAACACAAGCATGCTGAATTTCCGGAATCAAGCGCACATATGGTGGTGGCTGGAACGTAGTTCGCTCCACACTGAGTGCATGGAACCACTCCTCGAGCCTAGCACGGCCACAAGGTCCGTGCAACCTGTCCCTTCCAGAACAACCCGCTGTCTACTGGAGCCAGTATGGACGAGGTAGTGTGTTATAGACAGGTCGGCAACTTGTCAACATTCACATCAAGCGCAGCCACACCGGGAATATCAAGCAACAGCCAATCACAAATAAGGAAAAGATGAAGGAAAATAAATCGTATAAGGC